TGTATACACACATGTAAACATGTATACACACACATGTATACATGTATACACACACATGTATACATGTACACACACACACATATACAAATATATATATGTGTGTGTGTGTATGTGTATGTGTATGTATGCATATATACACATATATGAATAAATACATATATGTGTATATAAATATAAATATACATATAAACATATATGTACATATGTCTACACATGTCCATATACACATATCTATATGCATATATATACATAGATATACATATATATGTGACTATATCTTTTATATTTTGGAATTGATATTGATTCGACATTTGATAAAGATTTTTGGTATAGGTATAAAGATGTTTTGAACTTGTGGAGAGCGAAACAGTATTTCCATATTTTTATTTTGAATGCATATATATATATGATATTGCAGACTTTAGTATCAGAACTAGTAGAGCAAATCCATATTACTGTTGCTTCTATTGTTTCCCATTTGAGGGGCGAGGACGGCGCGCGAGCGAGCTGGGTCCTTGTCCTCGTTGTTGGTGAGGCGCGTCCCGACTCCCGCCGGCCCTCAGGCCAAGTGTCGCGGAAGGAAGCCTCATTCCAAGGGGCTGGGGGGGCGTGGCCGACCCATGAGACCGGGCACGATCTCTTCCCGCGACATGTGGCATGAAAGATTGTGTGTTATTTTGGTCCGTGGATATGGCACCGGATTCAGTGGAGGGGGACATCTAGTTGCGTCAAAGAATTCATTGGAAATGAAGAAATAGTATCTGCAGTTCGATAGAGAATAAGGCTGTAGTTAGAGGGACGGGAGTGATTTGTTTTCGTGCAAGGACGAGCGTGCTCAATGAATGTAGTAAACTTGTTTTTCGGAACCATGGCAACTGGAATATGGTCTTATTATTTGTCAAAAATGGTACTGCCAAAGTATTTCTAATGGAGACGATTTGAAAGAGCGAGCATAAACATGATAAAGATGCCAAGGCGGAAGTGTGTGTGTGTGACTCGATCCTTTCATGTTGCTATGTTTATTAAATCTATTTTGTGATTGTTTTTGGTTTATAATTAGTAGAAGGGAGGGTGTCGAGTTAGCCTTTGTATTTATGTCCCTTAGCAAGAGAATATTTCTTTTTTTACGTTAGCATGACTAACATTAAAGAACACCTTTTATTCTACCACATGTTATTTTATATAATTATAAAATAAAAGAGTCCAGATAAAATCGGAAGTTCTGTTTCTATGACCACTGTACCTGTACAAAGCTGGAATAAATTCAACCCCCATAAGCCTCCTTGAGGA